AAAGTACAGTTGACTGATTTGATGAGAGAAAAATACTATTCGTGGCTGAAAACAAACCAAGCACTAGCTAAACAAGCTAAAACGAACATGGCGTGAGTTGTGGCAAGACATAAAATTTGATTGTAAGTATTGGGCCCGTTCATTTGGTTGGTCTTTGGTCTTTGGTTTTTGTGAGAGGAAAACATTATTTACCTTTTGTTTAAATTTATTAAAACCAATGTGAAACAAGTACCGATTGATAGAGGTTGTTCTGTGCTTTCAGATTTTAGTATGTGATTCGGTGGTCCAGTGGGTCCCATATCAGTCAGCCCGGTCAACTAATCTGACCCAGTGCTGCATCCTTGGTCCTGGCCTGTTCGCTTCGTTTGAATTTATCAATTTATTAGTTAAAATTTATAATATTTTTTTTAATAATAAATCAATTCGACTTTTTATACCAGTAAAGCGAGCTCAGCTCCCCCTATCAAGAACTTTAACTACTGGCTTGTTACTTGCAGACAGTTTGTTTTCTCTGGGTCGGAGAGGTGCCGTACTCTTCAGACTTTTTCTTGCATGTGACAGAGAGAGTGGTGCGATGGCAGAACTAGGCCCAGCTACCCCTGCCTCTATGCTAACTTAGTCCTTGTTTAGGCCCCGTTTAGTTCCAAACCAAAAACCAAAATTTTTTAAGATTTCCTATCACATCAAATCTTGCGGCACATACATGGAGTACTAAATGTGGAAAAAAAAAACTAATTACACAGTTAGCCGAGAAATCGTGAGACGAATCTTTTAAGCCTAAATAGTCCATAATTGGACAATTTTTGCTAAATAAAAACGAAAGTGCTACAGTAGCCAAAAGCCAAAAATTTTCGGAACTAAACGGGGTCTTAGTTCCACCCCAACTTCCAAAAAATTGCTACAGTATTTGTCACATCGAATGTTTACGGCCCATGCATGGATCATTAAATGTAGACGAAAAGAAAAACTAATTGCACAGTTTGGTGAGAAATTGCGAGACGAACGTTTTAAGCCTAATTAGTCCATGTTTGAACACTATTTGCCAAATAAAAACGAACGTGCTACAGTACCCCCAAATCCAAATTTCTCCAACTAAACATGGGCTTATTTGTAAAAAAAAAACAGCCAGCCAGCAGAGAGAAGCTACAGCTGCTGGTGCTGCAATACTTGCAGCCGAACTTGCGTAGTCTCCCATCTTTTTTCCCCCTTGCTTTATAAAAAAGACAAATCTGGGTCTAGTTCGTTCTCTTGCACCGTACACCACACCTCCTTGCTCAAACCAGAGCACCGGGCTGAATGAACAACGAAACTGTTCTCTTTTCTAACTGGGGGAATTCTTGTGTACCATTAAAAAAGATCGTAATGCTCTGTGTGTTCCTGAAAAAGTTTAGCGGTTTTCAACGTCACTGCTCCAACTTTTTTGTGCTATCCATACCACTGCCGTCGTTTGGGCTCTAACGCCGTTAAACTGTAGGTGTGAAAAGACGAAAATACCTTTAAGTCTAAATATGTCATTAATTTTTTTTAGCATCTTAACGACTTCAAATGGAAAAAAACTCAAAACTAGAAAGTTATAGATCTCGTCGAGATCTATAATTTTCATATAAAAATTATCTTTATTTAATTCCGAAAAAAAAGATATGATTTTTCTAAGATATATTAATCATATCAAATCATATTTTTTGTGGAATTAAATGAAGATAATTTTTATATGAAAATTATAGATCTCAACGAGATCTACAACTTTCTAGTTTTGAGTTTTTTCATTTGAAGTCGTTAAGATGCTCAAAAAAATTAATGACATATTTAGACTTAAGGGTATTTTCGTCTTTTCACACCTGCAGTTGACGGCCCCAAACTGACGACAGTGGCATGGAGGGCACAAAAACATTAGAGCAGTGGCGCTGAAGACCGCTGAACTTTTCCAGAGGCACACAAGGCATTACGATCTTTTTTTAATGCCACACAAGGAATTCCCCCTTTCTAATTTGCTATGTTCTTGGGGGTGCGGCGCCAAAAAGCAAGAGACCGGGGAAAAGGTATGTTACGCAAAAACTGTTATGGTCGCATAGAATATCTTAGTTTTTAACAATCCTGTTCTTTATCTTTATATCTCCAAAATGTATCTTTTTCTTCGTTGGGTGGTTTTATCAAACCCATTCAGGCACCAACCCCTCCTCTAATTTTACTGATGTTTTTTTTACACGAGTTCTCTGATGTTAACATGCTGTGTTCTCTGATAACACTTCTTTTGTCTGTCTTGGCACAGGTGGAGTCTCTGATTTTTTCTAATCAACTTTTCGATCTCATACATTTGTCTGTTGCCTGCTGAGATTTCAGAGCGGGACGGGGGACAAGTACAGGACAGAAAACAACGGGAACGCAGTTCGGCACACTGCATCTATCACAGTACTGTGAATTTTGACTTGCCAGGTGCCCTCAGAAATCAGAATCCAATGCACCCCCTGCTGCACTCACGTGAAACACCCTGTGAAACTCTTCTGTACCTCCATTTGCCCATGTTTTATCCTTTTGTTTGGTGGCGCCGTTGCGCTGAGTTTGGAAAAGTGAAATACGCTGTTCAAATCTCAAAGGCTGAAATCTGCCTAGCATAGAGCCTACTCATTTCGTTCTAAAACAAACTATAATATCAAACTTATTTAGCTTTGACAAAGTTTATAGAAAAGTACTCCAACATCTATAATAATCAAATTATTTTTATTAAACCCACTACAAATCAAGGGTTCATTTCTTTGGCATCGTAGATGTTGATATATATTTTCCAAAAGTCGATAGAAATTTAGAGATTTTGATTTGAGATAAAAAAATTAAAGTGACAAATAATTTAAAACAGAGGAAAGAGTAGTAAATAACAACAAATACCAATTGAATCTTAAACCTACGTTATTATCCGTTCATATTTACTTCACAGTTTTCTCATTTTCTTTTGAGTAAGCGAGAGTTTTTAGTTAGGGTCTTATTGGTTGGCTATACTAGACTTAGCCTACATATCTTATGTAGCATAAGCTAACCCAACATAAATATATGCAACATCATTGTGTTTGGTTGTTCTACATAGGCAAACAACATATGATAAAATTGTATTTGTTTATTTACATTTTATTGCATTTTCTCACCCTATATGATCTATTAGAGGTCTCATGTTTCTAGTAAAAAGTAGAGAATGTGAAAATACCATTATTCGTCTAAACGGATGTTTAGCCTGTTTACACATGATTTAAATGCTACATGATGACACGTCATTTTATTTAATCAATTGTTTATCCTGTTTAAACGATTGTTTTGCTTACTGTTTACCGTATAGCGTTTAGGATAACACTTTAAAAATATTTTATTTTCTGTGTCCATGGATTATGCATTCTGCATTGTCTAATACGAAGAAATCTAATGTACTAGTAATTGTTGCACTCGCTGGTTTAAGCACTGTACAAGCCTACATAAAAGAGCTTTTGTAGGCTACCAAATATGGACAAACTGCAGTACACATGTCTAAATACAGGCGAATTCAGACAACTAACAAGACCCACTTGGTCTGTGTGAGATACTTCCTCACCACTTTATTCTTTCCCCATTCATCTCGTGCTAAAGAATTATCACATTGGCTTTTTAAGTTACGATACTTTAAATGTGCACTTGAAAAAAACTCTTCAAAACCGTTTATCTCCACAAACGATTTTACCAACGAAAATAAAAATTTTTAGACAATCCCTGTCAAGCGATCTCGAGATTATGGGTTAGAATAAGAAACCATTAAATCTGTTTTCTCTTCTCAATCACACAAAAGGACTGCGCGTCTTTGTATCAAGGTAGAGAAAAGATTCGATACAACACGCCTTCGGGCGTCTAAGGGTCAGTAAGGATTTACATGGAAGCTCAGACCATCTCGAGTGTATTGTAAGCTAGGTTTTTACATCGAACAGAGATCGACCCAAATTTGCGCCACTGGCAAGGAGACCTATGCCCTAGGTGCTGGGCGACGGCGCCGCTTGCGCGGGTCTATGTCGCCAACCAGAGAAAACAACTCACGCAACGCCTGCATATGAGCGGAATCGCCATTGAATACCTCATCGTACGTCAACGTCGACGTCGACGAAGGCGGCATCCCGCTAGAGAGTCCTAAGCGCTTCATGACAAGGTACTCATCTCGCTTGGCTGTCGGGATATGAGCTGTAGCCTGTGCCGCTATCCGTTTGCTTCGCTTGGAGAGCGAGGACGGTGCACCTCCGCTGAGGGTCGCCTCATCTCCGGGCGGCTTGAGAAGTTTCTTTAAATCTGTTTTGAGTGTTACACCATATCATCAGAATCAAACACAGGATCACTTTAAAACAGGTGCTCTAAAATAAACAAGCCAGAGTGCCTAGCATTATCTATTATCTTTGAGACCGAGGAGGAGCCCACTAGGCAGCCGGCCATCCAGTTCGAGCTACCTACGCTCTATATCTGGCCCGCCAAAGCCATCCAATTTTGTCGCGCCACCGCGCGGATTTACGCATTTGCCCCTGGGTGGAGTACCACCTGCCGAGTCCGGGTGGCAGACTGGAAGGCCAAACGTTGACTCCTCTCCACCCCATCCCTCCACGTCAACACCGCGCCGCCACGTCACTGCTCTGCGGCGTGAGGAGTGGGCGGGTGCGGACAAAACGGCCACCCACCACCATTCCATACCCGCTCACCTGGCACGGTGCGCTTCAACCCCTCAGTTCAGCATCTTTTCACATCGCAGTCCTCCGGGGCTTGGCTCGTGTCTTGCAAAATTTGCATGGGAGACGCTGAGGAAGACTGATTTTGTCAAACGGACCCGTGGCTACTGCAACTACTAGTCATAGCGCACGGCGCACTCCCGCACGCCGCCCTCCTCCTCCTCTCCTCGGCAGTGCGGCGTACTGGTACAGAAATGCACTCGTAGTAGCTTGGCGAGTGCTCCACATCGCTTGCTTTCCACCACCGGAGACGGAGCCTGAGCCGGAGCGTCGGATGCCATGGGCAGCGGCGCGTCGCGGCTGCTCACCGCGTGCGCGTGCTCGCGGCCGGCGCCGGCGCCCGCGGACGACGGGCCGTGCCTGGACGACGCGCTCGGCCACTCCTTCTGCTACGCCGCCAGCTCCGCCACCGCCGCGGGCCACTCGTCCTCCTTCCGCCACGCGATCTCCGGCGCCGCGCTCTCCGCCAACTCCTCCGTGCCCGTGCCGATCTACCACTCCTCCGTCGCCGGCGGCATGCCGCCGCCGCAGTACTCCTCCGCGTTCCACACTTCCTCGTCCTTCTCCTCCGCGCCGCTGCAGCTCTCCAACCTCTCCTCGGGTCCGCTCTTCCTCTCCGGGCCCATCGACCGCGGCGCCCAGCTCTCCGGCCCGCTCGACCAGGCCGTGCCCCTCTCCGGCCCGCTCCCCGCCAAGCCCACCAAGCCCGCTCCCTCGTCGTCGTCCCGAGGGTTCTCGAGGAGGTTCCGGAAACCCTCGTTCGGCAGCCTGCGGCGGAGCGTCTCGGAGAAGAACCGCCCATGCGTCGTGCCGCTCCGCCGGGAGGACGGCGTGCAGTGGGCGCACGGCCGCGCCGGGGAGGACAGGGTTCACGTGGTTGTCTCCGAGGACCAGCGTTGGCTTTTCGTCGGCATCTATGACGGCTTCAACGGTCCCGAGGCCCCGGACTTCCTGGTCGCTAATCTCTACCGCTTCCTGCTGCGCGAGCTCCGTGGGATCTTCTACGAAGAGGCCGACCCGGACTCCAAGCGACTCTGGCAATTCCTGGTGGATGGCGACGACGAGGACAGCGAACTCGACTTCTCGGGCTCCGGCCGGTTCGCGCTATCGCTTCTCAAGGAGCAGCGGCATCCCTTGTGGGCCCACGCGGCTGCCGCTGGCGATGGTCAAAGCGGCAGGGAGTGGGGAGTTAAGAGGTTGACGGCCGCACCGGCGGTGACGGACCACATGGCGGTACTGAGCGCACTGGCCCGAGCGCTAGCTACGACAGAGTCGGCGTACCTGGACATGACCAGCCAATCAATGGGATCCCACCCAGAGCTGGCAGTGACCGGAGCTTGCCTGCTCGTGGCCCTGCTAAGGGACGACGACGTATATGTAATGAACCTTGGGGATAGCCGTTCCATTGTGGCGCAGCGACGAGACGACGACGACTGCTTGATTGGAAGCATGCGGGTGGAGGGCATTGGTGTGGGCTTGGAGACCGAGTCAAGGATCCCTGGGTATTCTGCAATTGGGCTTGAGGCATTGCAGCTGTCGACTGATCATAGCACGAGCATTGAAGAGGTAACCTTTTTGCAGACATAGCTGAATTGATGCATAATGCTAATGCATTTGTGCATCTGCTGAGTTCACTGAAAAGATGAGCTTGCATCCTATATAAATATTCAGACCCAATTGTTTTTTGTTATCCTGGTTGAACATGCCCTTTGGTACAGCAATACCTATGCCATTATGTGTGAACTTTGTAGTGGCTTCTGTGAGTACATGTGCAGTATGTGCATTGTCCTGTTCAACAGCATGGCTTTATAATCGACAGACCATTGTTCTTTTGGAGTTGTGAATTTATATATCGTAGTAGGATAGTATGGGTGGATGGGAAGCATCATAGGTGTTTTAGCCTATGAATTCTTTCTGCATATGAACTCTTGTTCTTTCATGTTGACGTGCAGGAAGTGCAGAGGATCAGACGCGAACATCCGGATGATGATCAGTGTATTGTTAATGATAGAGTAAAGGGTCGTTTAAAAGTTACCCGTGCATTTGGTGCTGGGTATCTCAAACAGGTAAAGAGGCTGTAGGTTGATTGTTATGATAGGTCCAGGTATGGGGAAACAAGTAAATTTTATTGAGAAGTCTGCATACTTTACAGGCAAAATTGAATGATGGGTTGCTAGAGATGTTTCATAATGAGTATATAGGTGATACACCATATATATCATGCGCACCTTCTCTTTGCCATCATAAGCTCTCCACCAGGGATCAATTTCTTGTTCTTTCGTCTGATGGCTTATATCAGTACCTAAGCAATGAGGAGGTAGTTCTACATGTTGAGAATTTTATGGAGCGGTTTCCAGAGGGTGATCCTGCACAGAGTTTAATTGAAGAGCTACTCTCCCGTGCTGCAAAGAAAGCTGGTAAGCTTATTGTGTGGTCTTCTTCTTCCATGCTGAATGCAAATGCGCTCATTTCGATATTGTTTTGGATGTTGACCGTTTCATTGTACCCTTAGCATCACGGTTCACATACTTGTGTGCACTGTGCAAACATTTATGTGCTTGCACATGTTCATGTTGGGGCGTTGGGTGGCTCACTATGCTACTTTCTGGAATAAAAAGAATTATATTTATATATGCATGAAAAAAAACAGAAGTAACCCAACACGGCAAGGGTTAAACTCAGCTGCCAACACCTGGTATGGCAGACTGTCAGTTCCTAATATGTGAGAATCTTTGGCCAAAGTTTACTACCCACACTTGATTGCACATTGTCTTGTTACGCTATTCAGATTCTGTTTGAAAGTATTATTTGACAAAATGATACCTTGTCTTCTTCTATATTATTCCTTTTTATCATTTGATAGGGGATATTTTGTCTAGATTCAATCTTTGATCGAAATGGATGGTGTTTCATATGTAGTTTTGGTGGTTACAAAGCTTTTAGAGCAGACTCTACAGGACTACAGCTACAGTGACAGCCTGAGGTCCTGCTCGTAGATAAGTTTGTGCTAGTTTTGAACTTTTGATTAGTTTCACTTGTCCGTGAATCATTTTGATGGCATGGATTATCTGTGCCAAAAGACAAGCTTTGCATTGTCTTGGAGGGCTGGTGCTAAAGTTTCCAGTTCTATTTTTCCCTAGGATCATATCATGCAAATTGGTTCAGAGCAATGCTTAATATAAAATTTCAGCACAAAGATGTTCAATTCAAATGACAAGCTTAATGAACCTATGTGTTTTGGGTGTAATGAACGATAAGCTCCATTTAATCATTTCCGCTCTATGATAGGAAAGTTTTCAATGATAGCTTCTATTAGAACTTCCCTTGCTGTTACAATGTGTATACAGTGCACTAGACAGCTGCATAGGTGGGAGGTCACATCTAGTGCCTAGGTGCCACCTAGGCGATTAATCTGCCCAATATTAGACCACTGTATGGTTGGAGACTTAACTGTATAGCTATAATGCCTGTTGTTGAAAAGTTTGGTTGTATGCCGCACAACTATCACAGCTGAAACATCTTTGTACTTGATTACACTACATCATTGTTATCTATTCCTACAAAAATAAGTAATGTCACCCTGCTTCAATCTCTAGATCAATTAGAGATTCTTCAAGAAGTCTCTTCCGTGAGCAATATGCCAGTACTAACCTGGAGTTTGCCTTTTCAGGCATGGACTTTTATGAGCTATTAGATATACCTCAAGGGGATCGCAGAAAATACCATGATGATGTCACCATTATGGTCATTTCTCTCGAAGGGAGAATATGGAAATCCTCTGGAACATATGTGTGATGTTCAGCTGATATATTGTCCATGTCAGTATTTATTCCGATGCAATATTCAGCTGAAATGAACTAAAGCCGGTCAGCACTCCCAGGAAATTGCATATATGCTCACCAAGAGGGGAAAGTATGGCATGGCATACAGATATCTAGTCCATACACTTGTCAAAGTGGAGTCTCCAATTGGAGATCATCGCTGATCCTCACATCAGCTTTGGCACAGCTCATGCTCATGGGTGAACTCGGGCAGATTAAAGTTGCAGAGAAATGACAGCCTGATAGGGAGGAATTCCCTGGAAAAGCAGAGCCAATTTTGCTCTGTTTACCACCACAGCTTTGTTTGGTTACATACTTCTGACAATTTTTTTTCCACCTCACACTGAGCTGTCATAGAGTTGGGTGCTTTTTTATCCTTGGAAATAGAAAACCTTTAGATATATGCAGTTTTTCTCATCCGTTTGAGGAATGAGCCTGTATTATATTGGAAACTGGAATTGATCATGGTAGAGAAATTGATGATTGGCACCTCATTTTCGAGTCTTTGATTGTTCTGCATATGAGATTGAGGTCTCCAAAAGAATGGCCAGAGCCGTTAGTGGCCTCCGTGAAAGAAAATTTTACGTTTTGCCTCCCCTAGGAAAAACAAGCTAGTGCCTCCTAACTCTCGGCAAGTTCCTTGGTTGGGCCTCAGAAAAGCTATGAGCTGAAAATATTTTGGAGGTTGATTATTCGTCGTTGGTGATATTTTTCATGTGCATGAATTTATTTGTTTGTGGATCCTGACGGATTTAACTTTCCAACGTGCTGAAGAAATTTTGGTTACTAAGGCAAAGGAGGAATGACTAGAGGTTTAGAGCATGGAATATTTGCAATGTATTTGCTCTCAAAAAAATTTGTGGTGTAGACATGGTCCTTGTAAGCAAGCACGAAGTGAGTTGGCCTGAGGCCTGGACCTTTTGGCTTGACACACCCTGCTTTTAGGGCACGTTTGGTTGGTGACCAAAGGTTGCCACGCCAAACATACACCGCGCAATGATTTAGGCCAGCGTTTGCTTCATGGCTCCATATATGTTAGGCAGCTGCACTTCCTCATGCATCACCGTAGTTGTTTTTCTCCACTTTGCTTGTCAAAAGTTGGGTGCTAATTTTGCTTGCCACAAATTTGGCATCGCCAGAAACACGGTGTGGCAGGTTGACAGCACCATCCAAACAGAGCCTTAGTCATGCCTATGATAGCCCAGCCTATACGAGTTGCCAACGAGAGCGTAGCTCGAGTTCAGAGAGAGAGAGAGAGTAGCTTGATTAACGAACGACCCATTATAACAATTAATTGTTACATTCTCGGTCGTAGTATATAAATGAGGAAACACCTCTCTCCCCTTCTATGAACTGGTTGAACCCTAGATCCATCCATCCATTCACCTTCATCTCCCCCTCCCTCCCCCTCTTGACTCCCGCGTTGCCACCGCCTGTCGTACCCATAGATCCCCTTTGAAGGATCTAGTCCTATAGCCTTTGTTCTTTGATGAGCTTAGTGCACGACCAACTATTTTCCGTGTTAGGTCGCCCGTTTGGCCTTCTATAGGTGAAGGTGGAAAGTGTGGTCATGCACTCAAACACTTAAGTTAAATCTTTTTTAGGGGAGGGGGATGTGGTCCGAAATTAGGTACATATTTTCTTTTTATATTGGAAAACCCCTTGTACTCGTAGGTTGGATTTATTGTTATTCATAGAACGAGTACGCAAGCTGTAAATCTTGTAGCAGGAGAACTGATTTGTTATACTCAACCTGGCCACCCTGTATGTCATGTTCCGCAGGTACCCTACCGGCAACTGTTTGGTTGGGTGGTCGTGTATCGACTAGGATATTCATACTTCACTTGCAGTATGAGAACAGCGACCAAGTTTGGAACGGATCGTCTTTCTGTTGGGCGGATCGATCTCCCGTAGGCCTGGGTCGCCGTGCCAGGTTGTTCTCAATCCGCAAACACCCTGTGTTGATTCGGGCTCCGTTCGCTTCGCTGAAAAAACAAGCCGAAACATTGTTCCGGCTGAAAAGTACGGATTATAAGACAAGTGATCAGGGCCTCGGTCAAGGAGTTTGAGCATTCATCCGCCCAATTTCTTCCCTTTGCTTTTGCAGTTGGCAAAGCACGGGCTGACTAAAACCCAAGCAGTAGGTAAGTTCAGAAAGAAAAAAAAACTAGTATGAAATAACGAAATGAGATTTTCATACTACTACATTCTTTTGATTTGATTTTTTATAAAAAGGACTTTCATAGCCCAGAGCAAGAAACTGTTGGATTTTCAGCTTTCCATGGGTTTCTCATACTCCCAGTCTCTAATGCCGCAATGGGCAACTGAAATAGAAGCACCCAGCTTGGTACACGCCACTCCACTTGCCAGACAAAGCGCCCGATCAGTAATCCAGAAGTCTAGCTAGAGCTGGATTCCAGGTGAGGTTCAAAGTCGCGTGCTACGGGGTCAGGTAAACCGTAGGCTCTGCAGCGAGGGAATCCCGAGAAGGGAAATACGAAATCACCGAGATACGCTTACTTATGATTGGTGCATCGTGAACAAATCACTCGTACGACCAGCACGATCTCGCCGCAGATTAGTCCCAAGTATCCGATGTGATATTCTAATGGCATGCGGCCGGCGATAATTCTCCGCCCGATTATTCTACACGGGTTAGTCAACTCTGTCGATGATTCGTTGTGATCGTGAGACGCGTCTAAGTCGTGCCATTTTCTTTCTTATCTTAAATAAATAAGATAAAAGGAGCAGTGGAGAGAGTTCATCGTCCTGTGCTGTGATGCAGCTTTGTCAAATCGCATGTTGTTCACGAAAGGAGATTGTGGTTTTCAGAGAGGAGATTGGAAACGGAGGACACGAAGGTGTACAGTGACATGGATTGAATTCTCGCGGAGTCGCTGAGGCTGAGAGGATTGAACGTACAGTAGTTATCTCGCATTTAAGAGTGATTAGGTGTCAGACGATTCTTTCCCGCTTCCGCAGACGAAAATTTTGCGTGCCAGTTGTGTTGATGTGTGGAGGTCATGACCAAATGTAGCCTGTACTTGTCATTTGTGTGTGTGTGTGATGCACGTTCGCCTGACTATGAGTTGTGCGTTACCTAACTTTCAGCTGTGCTTAACGCAAACGATATTGAGCTCCAATGCTGAACACCCCTTTTTCTCTCTTTCCTTCATGTAACCCAACAATCTGATAATGCTTGGCAAGTTAGCGACACAGGAGGCATTTGCAGCACTGTAGGCCTCACCCTTACTCGAAGTGGAAAATGTACACCGTACTCTTTAGGTTTGAATGTCAGTAGTCAGTACAACCTTGGGCATTTGACCAGGAGCAAAGTGGCAGATCGGTTGCCACTTGTTTACTCTGCGAACTGCACCTCAGAATGGGGACAGGAAAGGAAACAGGGGACGAAACATCGTGGCCCAACCGCTCTCAACCAATGCACAAATATGGCCGAGGGGACTTCAGCATTCACAGCACTCAGCACAAGATCTCATCTCACATTGTCCTCCGCCAAATCTCTCTACCATCTCCACTGAAACAACTCCTCTGCCATTTCCGGAAAAAGAAACAGCTCTGAAGATATGCACCTCACATTTCGAGAACAGTCAAATGAAAGTTCCAAGCTCACATCATGTAGGACCTGAGTTAGCAAAATTTCCATAAAGCTTACATCAGCTAGTCTGAATTTGCCTAATTTCTGAGAGATTAATAGCATCATTCAAAGTCGCTTTGATTTTGCCTGGTCATCAGTCTATAACAATTTCTGAATTTTCTCATGGCTCATAACCCACCTCACCTCACCGCACCACCAAAACTTAATTGTGCGCAGAATGCATTTAATCTAGTTTATTAGCGAACCTTACGATTCCGCCCTGTCCGAGCCTGACTATTGACTTGCACGGTTGCACGTTGCACCATCGCCAGCCCACCACGACGCCCGTGTATAAAGGCCCTCATCACATCACCAGCTTTGCTTGGCCAGCGCAGCGCGGTGGTCTGCACTGCATCGGCATCGCGATCTGCGGTGGTGGCAGTGCGCCAGCGCCAGCCATGGAGGAGGAGCCTCCCCACCTGTTCCTGTGCCCCATCTCCATGGAGCTCATGGACGACCCTGTCACGGTCTCCACGGGGGTCACCTACGACCGCCGCAGCATCGAGCGGTGGATCTTCGGGTGCGGCAGGGCCACCTGCCCCGCCACCATGCAGCCGCTGGCCAACCTTGAGCTCACCCCGAACCACACCCTCAAGCGCGTCATCGGCTCCTGGCTCGACGACCGCGGCGGCTCGCCGTCGACGTCGGCGTCGTCGTCGCCGTCCACGTCGTCACTGTCGAGCCCGGCCCACGAGCTGGCCGCGCCGCTGTCGCGGGTCCTGGAGGCGGAGCGGCTGCGTTCGGCGCTGGCCGGCCTCGAGGAGACGCCGTTCAAGGTGACGGCGCTCAAGAGCATGCGGGCCTGCATGGCCGGCGACGTGGCCATGCAATGCGAGTTCGTGTCCTCGGGCGGGATTCAGGCGGCCGCCCGGGTCATGGCGCAGGCGCTCGCCGAGAGCGGCGCCGGCGGCGACTTCTCTGCGTTCACGGCGTGCGAGGAGGCCGCCGCGGTGCTCGCCCTCCTCCCGCTCGCGGACGCGGCGTCGGTGGGGCTCCTTCTCGCGCCTGAGTGCATGCGGCCGGTGATGGCATTGCTCCAGCGCGGCAGCGCCGAGGCGAGGCTGCACGCCATGGACATCGTAACCAAGATCTCCAATGCCGGCGCCGGAGACTGGACCGCCTGCGTCGAGGTTGACGACGTGCTCAAGTCCCTCCTCGAGCTCCTGTCCGACGAGGTCTCGATCTCAACGAGGCTCAGCTCCCGCGCGCTCGACGTGCTCCTGGACGTCGTGGAGCGGTCCCGGATCGGGCCCACCAAGGCCGTGGAGGTCGGCGCGGTGCATGTCCTCGTCGAGCTCCTCGCGAATGCCGACGACCGC